AACACACACACACACACACACACACACACACACACACACACACACACAAATACGCACACACAAATACGCACACACAAATACGCACACACACACAAATACACACACACAAATACGCACACACAAATACGCACACACAAATACACACACACAAATACGCACACACACATACACACACACAGTTGCATGGAGGTGTAGATATAAATACGCATGGATGCATTTACGTGTAAAGAAAAAGGCACAAGCTCCGTCACCTTCTCCAAAGTGTCCATATACCTGTACACTCTGGCAGGACGGTTCGTTCCCCCTCCGCCATGCGACGTGCCATCGACTCGCCAAAGAAGAAGCGTGTAAGTGACACTGCCTCTGCTACGTCGCGAAATTTGTAATCCGTGCGCACCCATCGCTGTTCGAATCCGTATTCGGATTCAAGGCGCTGCGGCAGGGTATTGTTCCGCCGCGGCTCTATGGAATCCGTTCCAAGTGTCTCAATGATGACGAGCGCCGCCGCACCGGAGGTGTCAAGCAGCCCAATGAGGCCTGCGAGGGTCGCGTCGACGGCTGCGTGCCAGCGATCCCCGCCCCATTGTGCACGCATCACGTAGGAGAGCGACCACGCACACACCACAAGGTGACAAGACGGGTGCGTTGAGAGAAACCCGCTTTGCACATCTCCAAAGCTGACGGGGCGAACACACAGCAGCATGGTACCAGGCGACTGTGCAGTTGCACCAGTACTGCCCACACACACCGCGGCAGCACTCGTTTCCAGCGTGTTAACATTAGTATCCTCATCATTACCATCAACGCGGGCAGTAGCACGTGGGCAGATGCAGACCCCGTACGTCTCCCGCCGTGCCTCAGCAACGGAGCGTACAACATTGGTCAGACATTCTCGCAGCATCGGCGTCTCGCTATCATAGCAGTACACCGCACTGACGGCGGGGTGCCGACAAAGCATGCTTGCAATGCGCCCCGTACCGCAACCAAAATCTGCCACCCGCACATCCCGCTTCGCATCTGCAGCACCTACGCATTTTTCTTCACCATCGGAGGCGGGTGGTGGTGGTGGCTGCTGCAAACTCAACACGAGACTGTCAAGATACTCCTGCACCGCACGGCAGTCATGACGGCGCATTAAAAGGTCGTACTGCTTTGGAAAGCGCCTGTACATCTCCATAGTCCCCACTTTGAAGGGAGGCACATCAACCGCCTTTTCTGCACCACGCTCGTCCGCAGGAGCCTCCGGTGCAACATCGTCCTGCGTCCTTGCAACATTCCAAATGTGCTGCAGTTCATGCCGGAGTTCCGAGGATACCAGAGCCGTTGTCAACGGTATTGTCGAAGAGGGTTTTGCATCGAACTCATTCACCGACGACTCCTCCCGCATTCTTCTGCGACATCTCCGCCGTTTCTCCTTTTCATCCTGCTGCTGCATGGTGTGAACTTGTTTTGTCCTTCGTTCCCCGCTCCCTCTCCTCTTCCACTTCACCCCACGTTGCCAGGGGAATCCTGCGCCGCCCTAACTTCTTCCCCCGCCTACCCGTGCGTATGCATAATGGTTGTTAAAGGCGGAGAGGGAAATTCCCGTCAAAAGAAGGGCACCAAACGGGGAACCGGAGATGAGGCATACAGTGCAGCCAAGTTCCTCTACCAGAGGACAAAAAGCCTCCCCCACCCCGAAAACAAAACAACAACAACACCAGTACGCGGAGGTGACAAAATAATAATAAAAAAGTGAATAAAAACAACAAACCAATATGACTTTTTCTTTCTCTATTTAAATAATAAAGTACTGTCTTTTTTTTTTTCTTATTCTTCTTCTTGCATGTACGTTCTAACACTAAGTGCAATAGTTGAAGGTGCGGTGTACGGCGGTTGTGCCCTGCTCTGCACAACTCGCTGCGTACACGCATAAACGGCGCCGGCCTGCCTGGATGGAGTTACCGGGAGGGGGGACCAAAAGGAGACAAACATCACCGCAGTCGATGGATGAGCGCGCGCTGCTTACGCCATTCAAGCTCCTCACGTTTCACCATGGCGTACACGGCACGCTCCACAAGTTTCGTGTCAAACCCCATACGTGCCATTTCCGCCAAAAGCCGATTTTGCTCCACCGTCGCCCCCAATGCCACGCGTCGACGCAGTGCCTCCTCAATGCGCAATACCAACTCACTTTGTGCGGCTGTCATCGTTTGATCCGTTACGCCGCTCTTGATCGCGTCGACGGTGGCAACTTTGAACAGCCGGATCGCCTCCTCCGCGTCTGCGCGGTTGGCGAGCACGTCGAGGCGCATGCGTGCCATGGACTCTGTGATGCGCACTAAGCTTTCCAACTGACGGGCGGTAATTTGAATGATGGGTGTCCGCGATTTTGCCCCGGAGGAGGAGGAGGTGGAAAGCGACTCAAGGATCTGCTGGTGTGCCTCTCGACGAACATGCACGTAGAAGTCAAGCAACACTGACATGGCGTCTTCCGAGATGCGTGGGTGGCGTGTGGCGCGTGCATACGAGATGTACTTGGTGAAAAACGATCGCTCCACCATGGGCGACGACGAGGTGTTTGCGTGGTGCCCATTTCCGCCCTTGTGCAGGTTAACGACGTGCTGGGCGAGGCGGCTATCGATCTCCGGGTTGCGGGGGTCGAGCACCTTAAAGATGAGATCAAAGCGGGAGAGAATAGAGCTCTGAAAGTCCATCTGATCCTCGTTCGACCGCAGCGGGTCGTAGCTGCCAAGCGTCGGGTTCGCCGCGGCTAGCACACTGGTGCGGCTGTTCAGCATCGTGGTCAGGTTTGCCTTGGCAATGGAGATAGTCTGCTGCTCCATCGCCTCGTGGATCGCCACCTGGTCCTGCTCCCGCATCTTGTCAAACTCATCGATGCATACCACCCCGCCGTCGGCAAGCACCATAGACCCCGCCTCCAGCACAAAATCGCCATTCCCATTGGAAATAACAGACGCCGTCAACCCCGCAGCACTGCTGCCCTTTCCGGAGGTGTAAATACCAATAGGGGCAACCTTTTCGGTGAACTTCAAGAGCTGCGATTTGGCGGTGGAGGGATCACCAATAAACAAGACGTTCATGTCACCACGCAAGTAGTTGCTTCCCTGCTTTTTTCGTGTCCCGCCAAAGAGCAGACACACAATGGACCTTTTTAGATCTTCGAGGCCAAAAATGGCAGGGTCAATGCTCTGCGCCAGTTTCTCGTAAACGTGACCCTGATCCGCAAAACGTTTGAAGGCAACCTCATCTTCCGCCTGCCACGAAGTCACAGACTGCGACCGCACCCGGGATGAAAAGTTTTGATTGACACTTTGGACAGCTGTCTCGCCTCCTTTAACTGTGATGTACATGAGGCCGACACAACGAAGATACTGCGCACGAAGCCCGGCAACACCACGTATGCCCTTTACCTTTTTCCTATCACCCTCCAAGTTGCCACGCCTTTCCTGCACCGAAACGATGCCGGCCACCTGCACCCGGGAACCGGGGCTCACACGGTCCACAAGAAAGCGGTCTACCACGACCGTTACATGACGAGGCAACTCGCCGGTTGGGACGTCCTCCGGAAGCTCCTGCAGTTTGATAATCTGCTGGTCCTCGTACTCGCACTCCATTGGCAGCAGTGTGTAGGGATTTGGTCGACACTTGCGCTGCGCACCACCCCCGCCACCTGCGGCAGCACCAAACCCAGAAGCCCCGTTGGCACGACCCCCATTTTCCAGGCAGTGAGGTGGAAGATCGACGCTTCGCCCGCCGTTTATGTATGTTTTGCTAAAACAGCTTGTGCACTGAATTGCCGCCCGCACGCAACGGGCGTGACAGGCACTAACCTTCACCACAATCCCGCTGACACATACCAGTCGTGCCACCGATGCCTGGGCAAGTTGACGGAGCGGTGTGGGTGGCACGGCCCAGCACAATTGCAGTTGTATGGTGCTCTGGCGGGCGAAGGGCTGAAACAGCTTCCGCTCATGTGCCAGCTCCCACAGCGCATGCTCACAGAGTGGCAGTGTGCGTGTGGGAGAAGCATGGAGGGCGTTAAACACTGTGCCATTAAACTGCTGAATGTGCATCATCTCCACCTCCATAAAGAACAAACCACCCGCAAGATTTGACCGCAACATCGCCATGTACAAATGGTCGTTGTGGATGCGAAACCGCTCAATAAACTCCTTGAAGATAAACTTCAAGTCCACCGCTTCCTCCGACTGACGCTCCTCATCCCCGTCACCAGCCGCCAAGCCACCGCGGAAGTTTGTCACATGCACTAAACCCGCATCCGCCTCCATCGGCCCCTCCCTCTCTTTCTATGTATCTATGTATTTTATTACTGACGTGAGGCCCGTATGTATTCTTGTATTGCTTCTATGGCGATTTATTCTCCCGCCGTCCACCACCGTCGTACGAAGAAACTTCTTTCACACTCACACCGTGCCACTCCGGTCGTGTTGGGCGGCCAGACAAAAGTGACAGGGAGTGAAATAAAACAAATAAATATTCAACGACAAGAATAAACTGCAAACAAACAAACAATATAAATATATATATATATATATTAGATCACCCCGCAACCACATTCACCTGCTCGCACACCCACATGGATCGGAAGAGGCAAGTTAAAAAACACACAAATACACAAACAACAACGCACGACCATAAGCGTGCATTCACCTACACACGCACGCACACACAAATAAAAAGTGCCACAAACAACGTTTTCTACGGTTTCTCTGCCATTCTCGTTCCTTACCCTTCCTTTCCTTTCTATTGTGTGGAGTCCGACGTCGCCATCGTCAACCGCATTGCGCGCTAGGTACTCTTGCTGCTCGCGGCGAGCGCGATAAGCGCCTCTTTGCTGTAGGCGTCAAAGGGGTTTGAGCCACTGAGCACCAGCACCCCGCTCTCCATCACACCATTGATGCGCTTCTCCACCAGCAGTGGCAGCAACCACACGTGACACCCCTCGTGAAGAGTGAAAGGCAACCGGTAGTATTCAATCATGTCCTGCACCGGCAGACGACTGGAGAAGCTGCCAACGTAGTACTTCACGACCATTGAGAGAGCAATGCGCTTGCTGACAACCTGAAGCACGTTGTGGATGCCGCACTGGACATAAAACTCCGAGTTGTTTCGCATCGCAATGTCAAACAGCAACCAGTTTGCGCTTCGGACGGCGACAATTAGGTCCTCCAGCTCGGTCAAATTGTACGCTGCCTGATCTTCCGGCAAGGGCACTTGCCCCAAGGCCAACCCGCACGCGGCGAGTTTCACGAACAACAGTCGTTTGTTCTCGTGAGCGTCCTCAGGCACAATAACGAAGGCCCGGGCCAAGAGCCCCATTGCTTCCTGTATCACGGCGTCAGTCAAAGGCTCCTGCAAGAGGTTATGCGCATGGTGGTGGTAGAGAGTGCAGCGAATCTCAATCATGTTGCCGCAGTGCTGGTGAAACGACTGAACAAACTCATCTCTTCCAGATGGGGCATAACTGTGCAACATCAACTCCCCCAGCACACACGCGTAGGCGGCCGTGCGCTGTCGCTCCACCTCAGACTGTGGTGCTTGTTGAAGCGTAGGGACACGCACGTAACGGTACAGCTTTAGAAGTATTGTCTTCATATTGGACTGAACAGCGAATACACCCTCGTCATTGGCCAATTCAAACGTGTTCCGAACACGTCGCAAAACAAATGGGAGGACACTGTACGGCACATGATTCTCAGCTTGATTGGAGAACAACTGTAAAAATATGTCGCACATCAGATTCGCATACGTGCAGCCATTCGTTAGTGCGGCCCACTTGTTGCCAAGAATGAGGCGTTTCCGATCCCCAGCACCACTACTATTAGTATTATCATTGTTAGTCTTATCCACATCGGCGCCTCCGTCCTCCTCCGTCTCTCCGGCAAGAATGGTCATTGACACAAGGTTTAGGTGACACCCGAGGGCGAAGAGCGCAACCCAGTGCTCCCCCTTCACAGACGACACCTGGTGGGTGTCTCTCAGCGTGTGCCACACCGCAAGCATCTGCTGCAATACCATGGAGAACGCGCCGCCACCGTAACTACCCACAACACCAAAAAAGGCATCCTCAAGAAAATCAGCCGCCTCCTCGCGTCGCACATCATTTTCGTCCAAAATTTTACGCATAAAGGCTGCAAATACACGCGTAGAGAGAAGCTGCCCCGCCGCACTGGCACCAACATCTGTTTGCGGTTGATTCTGCTTGGAGATCCTCGGCTGCCAGGTGCCCTTCACGGAAGATGGTGTTGCCGGCGCCGTGAAAACAGAAGACGGTGCAACATCCACACGCCCCGCGCCTCTTCTGCCAAAGTTTACCCCTCTGCCCCTCCCTCGGATAGCACCTGGCGCCATTGGGTTAAAGCTTAGCACGCCAGACTCCCGTTTAGGGAACACAGGGGGAGGCACAGTGAGCGGTTGAGGCGCCGGCAGCTGTGACGACAAAACCGTGGGAGGTAACATGGTGCCACCGCCACTCGGTGTCACGCCAAGTGTGAAAAGACGCTGCGCCGTCTGGAGGCCATCGCCCCTCTGGCTGGACTGCTGAAAGACTGACGCGCCGAAGGCGGATCTGGGCGCCGGCGCGGTGCCTTGCGTGCCGCCGTGGATTGGTGTGGAACTCGTTCCAAAGGCAGTGGTGGTGCCGAAGATGGGCGCGCTCAACCCCGCTGCCGCCGTTGCCGAGGTGGAAAAGACACTACTGAAGGCGTTGGGCCTCGTGGCCGCCGATGACGGCGCGGCCCCCGGTGGGGTTTGTGGAGGTGCATCGAACGCCGACATTTGCCACCCTCCGCAACGCTGCTAAGACAAAAAAGGAAAAAAAAAAGAAAACGGCAAAAATGTAGTGGAAGAGCGGGAGAGGACGAGTGATGCAGGCAATTGGCACCCCAGCGAAAAACAAACAAACAGCCACAGGCACGCACACTGACAAAGGTCTCCGCAACGCTTGAGTTTGCGCTAAACAGCCAAGGGCCTCAACGCACCAAACGACTTCCCCGCCCTCATCGTGACGGGCAGTGGGACGCTGAGAGAAAGTGCTGCAGACTGCCGCTCAAGAATATGTTTGATCATCGGCGCCACGATACCCACTGCACTGTCGGGGACGGCGTACACAAGTTCGTCGTGCACGCTTAACACAAGCGCGAGAGCCGCCGCAGGAAAGCAAGGCACAAACTCATGCCGTCGCTCATGTACCTCCACCATCGCGTGATGCAGGATGACGGCTGCACCGCCTTGAATGGCCGCCGCCACCGCCGCCTGCTTGCGTCGATTGCCGTCCAGTTCCCCAGACAAATTTCGCACCCCATTCAACGTGGTACAAAGCTTTTCATGAAAGGCGCAAAGTCGCGTCCTTCGCAGAAAACTCTGCACGGCGGGGTAGCATTGATGAAACGAGTGCATAACCTGCCGCGCAGACAACGGCTTCTGCCCCGAAGTCTCTGCCGTCTCTTTATGCAGCTGACGCAGATGCACATCCAGCGTCTCCGGCCCCATGCCGTATAGCAAGCCGTACACCACCACCTTTGTGCCTTGCCGCAAGTATGGTGTGACATCCTCCCGCCGCGGCAGCTGCATCACGTGAAGTGCCATCTCCGCCAACACATCCGAGCCGCCTCGAAGCTGCTGCACGAGAAGTGGGTCACCGCTTAGGTGGGCCAACACACGCAGCTCGACTTGATCAAAGTCAAACGACAAAAGGGTACACCCAGGCGGGGGACCGTACAAGTGCCGGAGCGTCCACTCCGGATTGGAGAACATCGTCACTGCCGATGAAGTGAGCGCTGTAGTGCGTGAAAGCGGAGGGTTCTTTGCAATGTTTTGCAAGCACGGTCGCGAGCAAAAGAGGCGAGCCGTGGTAGCATGGTGAACACTCCACGTTGGGTGCACAGAGAAACAAAGACGATGTGGCGCTGTGGCATGGTGGGAGTTGCGGTGGCCACTCCGCTCAGTCGCTGCGATATCTTCCGGGGCAGCGATGAGACGAGCGTGCATGCTCACCCCTTTGGAAAACCCCTCGATGATAGAGCGCTTAAACTCGCGACGCTCACGCAGCGCCAGCCAGAGCCGTGCTGCATTCGCATCCGTGCCACTCTTCGTGTCCTCAACGTGTGCGGCGAGCCGCTGCAGTTGCTCTATCTCGTTACCCTCCACAGCCAGCGCAAGACCACCACCATAGTGGTGCTGCAAGACGTTCAGCAGCTCCCACGCAGTCACAGTCTCCATGTCTATTTCCCCAATACTGTCATCGGGTGACAATGCCTGCAGTGCCGCATTCCCCTTTTCGACAAAGGCCTTGGCTTGCTGATCCAGGTCTGCCACCATGCAATCCAGCACATCCTTCTCCACAAACATGCCATGATAGGACATGACCTCGCAAAGAAAACTGACGCGTGTCTCGAGGCTGCAAACCACAGCAAGAGAAGGGGAAACGCTACCTGTTGCGCCGCTGCTCTCCACAGAGCGCATGTAGGCCTCGTAATAGGCGTAGAGGGTCAGCAAAGATTTGAATCGTACCAATAACTGCACCAGCGACATCTCACTTTGTGCTGGGGCCAACACTGACGACACTGTTGTTGTTGTTGTTGTTGTTGTTGCTGCTGCTGCCATTGTTTCTGCGGCTTCCTCAGCCATCCGAGTGTCCTCACACCACCTGTCCTGCTTCGCCCGCTCCAACTGCACCTCGATACCTTCCTGTGCAGCACCAGGGAGAAGCTGCCAAAGACTCTGTGAATCGACACAGGCCTTAGTGTAGGGTCGTGGCCCGCACACGCGTTCCATCACTGCCCCCCAAACAGAGACGTCCACTAAGTTGCGCACCTCCACTCGGTCTGTGCCCAGGAAAAGGAAAAGGAGCCGATACAAAGGCCGCGCCTGAAGCACAATTTTCGTCACGGTAGGGGCAGAAAGGAGTTTGGCCAAAAACACTAGCGGTGAGCAGATAGAGGCGTCCAAGGTGTAAAACGACTCCCCACGAACAATAAAGAAGAGTTGAATGGAGGCATGGAGGTTACGCAAATAATCGCAGCTGGCCTGCTCCATGGACTCAAGCGCCGCAGCAAAACCACTAGGATCACGTAACATCGTGGTTGTACCGCTCAGTTCCACGTCTATGCCTACTGGGCCCAACAACCCCTGCAGAAGAGGTTTGCCCACTGCCAAGACATCCTTGAAGCGGCAGAGGCCTCCTCCTTGTCTCGCGGTCGTGAGTAGCGTGGGCCCCGTTGCCCTTTCCGGGGGTTCGTGTGCCGCAATGGTCCCTGCCAACACCGTGAGCTGCTTCTGGTGGTGTTCTAAGACATTCCCGCCATCATTCTCTCCTTCGTGACCTGCGCTCTCCTCTCCACCGCTCTCGGGGGCGGGCTGCATTCGCCCATCCCCCCGCCCTCGCTCTTCCTCCACCCACGCGGCAGAAGCCGCCACAGCCCGCTTCTCCTCCTCTCCCCTCTCTTCGCAGCGTTGCTGCTGCTGGTCGTCATGGGCGGCGTCACCGCGGCCCGAGACGCAAGGCCTGGGTACGCCTCTGCTGCTCTCTGGTGCCAGCACCGTCTGCACGCGCTGTGACTCCGCCAGCGACTCCGCCCAGAAGCGCGCGGACGTCTCTCCACTTCGTCGCGTGTTCAGGCGAATCGCAAAGCTCATCTAGTTGGTCACTCAGCGAGGTTTGCACTAACTACGTGCAAGAAGGATGACGAGGAAGAGAAAAAGCAAAAAAAAAAAGAAAAGCTACATCAGTGTTACAAGGAAAGAAATATGGGCTTCAGCTGGTCTCTCCCACTCCATGTAGAGGTGTGTATAACGGACACCATGTTAAACAAACCTGTCTGCCTCCTCCCTCACTCTTTGATTATTTTCTCCTTATTTTTCCCACTCCACTTGCTCTCAGCACGCATTCCTCAAGCAGTTATTGCACAGCGGTTTCTCCACACACGCACACACACACACACAGCAGCTGCAGTACACAGTGATGAATCCGCCTGACAGCCTCTTTCCCTATCTACCTCTCCCCTTCCCCCAACGCCATTCTTCGGTGACTAATTTGTCCATGAACCTTTTCGTGGAAGGCGGAGCCTGCTTACGGCGTGAGCAAAGGGAATACAGCTATACATCTGCATAAAGGAAGAAAAAGAAAGAGAATAAACGTCATAGGTAATGCAATTGCGGCAGTCACCTATATGCGCATTTCACAGGAGTGTTGTGTTGTATGTATGCGGAGGAGGGCGTCCAGACAATTCAGGTTCGCGTTAATAGTCACTGCAGCCAAAGGAGCTTCCTCACTCCCCCGTTCTGTTTTGGTTGCTTACAACTCAGTCATGTGGTGCTTGCTTCAGCACCCTTGGTGGAGGAGCAAACTGTTACAACAGCCGAGGGCTGCATGGCGAGCCCCGGATCCCAGTTGAAGTCATCGTCGCCGTCGCTCTGCAGCGCCTCAAACGTGAGGTGACGGGCCCGCCGTGGTCGACTTGGCAAGACCGAGTTATGCCCGGCCCCACGCCTGCCGCCGTAACGGCACGCATCCGAGTGAAGAGGGCAACGTGGCTTAAAGCAACCGCACGTAATTAACACTAAGAAGCCCTGCACAAGACCAAGCCAGAAACGGTAGTTTGGTAACACCTCCGGACAGTGACGTATGCCCTTGTTATACCGCACAATACTTCCCACTACAAAATAAATCAGCAAGAGTGCCGTTACCAGACTGAGCACGATGACAGAGACGAGCATCCATGACGGCTGCCACATTGCGCCGTCAATGCGTGCAATTGCAGGTAATATAGTCTGCTACGTATGAAGGCGTGTATTCAGTTGTTGTATTCTGAACTCCGCACTCCGCCCTCCGCTGTGTCCTCGCGTCTCTCCAACTCTGACGCTTTGCACGTGGCGCTGTGTGCCTATGCGTACTTCTATGCTTGCGCCCTTTGGAAGGCGCGACTGAGGTTTGTGTGCGGCACGAGTAGGACTGGGGCGGACGCACACACACACATCTACCCACGGAAAAAGAACACGATGAAAAAAAAAGCAGGGAGTACAAAAAGCACACACACACACAACCTGCGTTCATGCACCACAGCAGTTTCCACAGAGACCGCTGCAACGGGGAAACCCCGGGAGAGATGAGGGTGGCATGGGGCTGAATTCCTGCAAGTGGGAGCCCCGTTAACTTTGACGCTCCGCCCCACGGCGGCGGCAGCCCGAGCGAGAGAGATCGCAAAAAATCCAACGACAATAGCCAACAATGGCCCCACCACAAAAGTAGAAACACGGAAACAAGCAGGAAAAACAAACAAACAAACACACACATCGGAACAACAACAACAAAAAAAAAAGAACTTTGTGTTCACTTTTACCCTCGACACACACCGTAAACAACTCTGTCCCCACCAGATCAAAAGACTACCTCTACTTCCTACTCGCTGATAGTTTGCGTACGTGTGTCATACTTTTCCCCCTGTCAGCAGACACGAATTGAGAAATAAATATTTAAAAAAAGAGAGAGAAAGAAATTTTTATTTTCTTTTGTTTTACCAGCACTTACGTTTCTGATTCTGCAGCTTGCTTCTTTCCGTGATCGACTGCAGGACTATATTACATTTGTTCACTCTCTCTCTCTCTCACACACACACACATAGAACCTACCTACGACTGTGAGGGGCAACCGTGCGAGAAGTGTGTATGAAGGCACAGCATGCCTGACGTTTTGTATGTGTTTGTGCGTCCATCTTAAATGTATTTCCGAAGCTGGAAGTGATGACGGAGGCGGAAATAGGTCACAAGCGAAATCAGCGTTGCCATGGCGGCAAACACATACACATACTTCCACACGACTGCATTCATCTTCTTAAAGGAGTGCCGTATGTCTTCATCGGAATCCATTAGGTCTGTGAAGGCGAAGCGGATGCGCAACATGGTGTGGAAAATGTAATCCATTTGCTGGAGCGCCCCGCTGGCCTTGCCAGCCCCAACAGCGATAACGCTTGATGTGCTGTAGCTCTGCCGCTTCTGCCGTGTCAACTCGGCGTCCTCCGCGTCCATCACCTCCAGCGTCACGTTAAATGAGGTGGCGCTATGTCGCGCCTTCTCCGCAACGTTGAAGCAGATGGCAATATCCCCTCTGTTCTCCACCGTGACGATCTCCTTCGCATCGGCCTGTGCCATGGCGTGCTCCATAATAACCCGTCCACCGGGGGCCGAGACGCCGACGGACACAAACGGTGTCAAGCTTCGGGCCATTTTATAGTGCAGCTCGTAGCGGCCTGCCTCCGGTAGGGTCTCCGTGAAGCACTTGCGCCCCGGACGAGCAGTGAAGCGAATCCCCTCCACCGGCATCGGCAGCAGGAACGCCGCGGCGACGCACACGGTGAAAAAAAGCAGCGGTAGACGCGGTGACACAAGAGAACTGCCCGCCATGTGCGTGTTCCTTCTGCTCATGAGCTGCTTGTCCTGCACAAACCAACTCCCCTCGGGCTATAGTTTATCTTTCTCCTCCTTTCGTGCTTTTCGTTGCGTGCAGGCCACGTAAAGAAAGAAAAAAAAAGGACGTGCAGATACAAACAAAAAAAAAAGTGTGTGCGATGACGGGTGGCAGTCATCGTTTCAGCTCAGAGTCTTTTATTTTCGTGTTTTCATCATCATCGTGCTCCCCTCCCATTTTACGTGGGGGTCGATTGGCGTGCCTGCGACTCGCCCCGCTCGTGCCACCGCTGCACCACACGCTCCGCCTCATCCCCGTCAATGTTGACCCCACCCACCGCATCGAACATAAACCCACCCTCGTCGAGCGGTGGGAGCTCGCAGTAGAGAATGCCTATGCGACCCACAAGTATCCGGGCTTCATTTGTCCCACCGCGGACACCGTGACCATCACCGCCACCTCCATCAGCGTCAACACCGTTTTTCGTCACGCCGTGCCAGCAGCAGTTTCTCTTGTATGAGATGTCCAATGGCCACCACCTCGTCCAGCGCAATGTCCTCCGGCAGGAAGACATCCATTAACGTTCGTGCCGCAATGGGCTTCCGCGCGTAAGTGCGCATGCCGCTGCTTCGATCGTCTCCCAAGCGGGGACTCAACGGGGTGCCGGGTTTAAAAAGCATCATTTCTGTCGTCTGCACCAGTGGGCCGAGACTGACGGCGCCCGCCCGCAGTCGCGCAAGCTCACACAAGAGCAAGGCAATCTCCTTCTTCACGCCAACCATCTCCCTCGCAGACCGCATGCTTCCCAGCGTACAGCACGGCACACGTGCCCCAAACAGAGGACTTAGCGCGTACTCCTGCAGGACCTGCCGCCGCATGTTCGGGACGGCGCTCGACTGAAACCCACTTGTTGTCGCTCCTCTAGGCACAAAATCTTCATTAAAAGGCCAAAAGTAAGAGCGAGCAGGGACCACCAAAGCCCCGCCCCAGGATAAGATCGCGGCGTGATTGGTTCGTTTCCGCCTCACCGACGACAACGACGAAAGCCTCGCTGCTATTGATCCAGCTTGCCCTAACAGTGGCGTGGCCATCATGCCTCCCTTCCTTATCTGTTTTCCTTTCAAGCCCCTCACACACACACCGGAGAACAAAATGGAAGCGGTAGTCGCGTCCCGGAAAGCGGAGGAAGACGTGTCGTTTAACCGCTCACGCGCGCCGAAGGGCGAGTGTATCAGATGGCAAACAAACCGTAATGTCTCCAGTGAACCCAAACAAAAATGACCAAAGAAATAACAACAAAGAAGCTGCCCATTGACAGGAAGAACAACACACCAGAAGGAAACATAATAATAATAATAAGAGCGGAGTGTACTCACCTACGAACATGCCGTTTTTCTTTTTGGCTTGTAGGTGCTCTCTACTTTTATTATTAATATTATGTCGTTCATGTCTTCTTCCTGGTTAATTTCATCAAGAGGCAGGCGTATTTCTTCACCCCGTTTTACTTCATCCGCTGCTCCATTTTTTTTGTTTTTTTTACTTTACTTTTGCTCTTGTCGCAGCTGCTCACTTCCTTACCACAAGCCTGCAACGTACACCCACACACACCCCTCCCCTCCTCGCCCCCACAGGCAAAACAATAAAATCCACTAACCACGGCCTTCTGAACACCTACAGATGCGTCTCCAGAAGGCTTCAACGGAAAAGGAAAAAAAAAAAAAAAAAAAAGCAGAGAATAGAACCAATCCTTCTTTTATTATTATTTTCCCTTTGTTTTCATTTTTTATCACCGTTCTTGGTCTCATTGCTCACTCCCCTCCCCTCACCCTTTCCCGACACCACTCCATTATCTACTTTGTTGCCTCAATAATTTTCACGAACTCCGGCTTAAGCGAGGCACCGCCCACGAGGAAGCCGTTGATGTCACGCATCTGGTACAGCGTGCATGCGTTTGTGGCGTTCACTGAGCCGCCGTAGAGAATGCGCAGCTGCGTGGCGACGTCCGCACCCACCTTGCTGTGCACCCAACGGCGTAGCAATTCATGAACCTCCTGCGCCTGCTGTGGGGTCGCCACTTTACCGGTACCGATGGCCCACACAGGCTCGTAGGCAACGACGATGCGGGACCACGCCTCCTTGCTAAGCTTATTAGCAATGGCCGCAAGCTGCGCCAACACGACAGCAGCAGTGCGGCCAGCCTCACGTTCGTCGTTGGTTTCACCCACGCAGGCGATAACGTGGAAGCCAGCATCATATGCATTGGCAACCTTTTCTGCGACAATTTGGTTCGTTTCACCATAGTACGAACGACGCTCCGAGTGACCCAACACAACCCAGTTAATTCCATAGTCCTTGAGAATCTCGAGGGACACCTCACCTGTGAAGGCGCCACTTTTGACGATGGCGTTTTGCGCTGCAACCTGAAACTTTGGGTGGGTTAACTGCGCCTTCGTCATTGGGATGTGAAGGAAGGTGGGGGCGACTACGCACTGAACGTCGTGGTCAATCTTCGCCGCGTTGAAGGCCTCAATAAGTGCGGTAAGCGATTTCTGGGTGCCGTTGCACTTCCAGTTGGCAGCGGCGATGGGTTGCGGCTTTGATGACATTTTTTTTTCTTTTCCTTTGTTTTGAATGTATGCCTCAAACTTCCGTTTATTTTGCGAGTGTAGTGTATAGATGTTGTGCGCAAACTTCGGGTCCGCGCCGGTGTGTGAGTAGAAACCCCAAAGAGGACGAAGCGAAGGGCAGTGACACCTCAGCGTGGCCACGAAAGGGCCAAAAACCAGGAGGCAGCGAGGGTCCACTACAAACACCACACACACGGAGGAAAACAGAACGTGAAAATAATAATAAGAATAATAAAAAAAAGAAGGGAGGGGAAGGGAAAGATAAAGGAGGAGACAGAAACAAAAT